AGAAGTCGAAATCCTGCTATTTTCTGAAAATATAGAATCAGTCAAATTTCAAATGGTTTAAATAAACCGGGTGCACAAGTCTGATCAGCTACTATTGTAAAGCTGCATTAGATATGGGTTTAAAGAGTTAACACCTAAAACCCCTAGAATCTAAACTTGTAGATATGCTTTTGAGTGAGAACTCTCCATGTGATATTTCCTGTGCAAACAATAATTTGTATAAATAAATAGTAGCTTATGGAAACAAATGCAAATAAGATTTTTTTTTTTTTACTTTTACTTTTACTTTTTTTTTAAATGGCTGCTGTCCATTTTAAAGCAATAATAATGTCTAAGTAGATGGCATGCTAAATTGACCTATACCTAATACAGCAAATTTACTAATATCACAATTTATTTGAAACTATTTTATAGTGTACACAGTTATAAAAGTATTTTTATTACAAAATCTTTCTTCTTCTTCTTCTTTTCCTTTCGGCTGTTCCCAGTTTAGGGGTCGCCACAGCGAATCATCCTTTTCCACCTAACTCTGTCCTCAGTATCCTCTACTCTTGCACCAACTACCTTCATGTCCTCTTTCAGCACATCCATATATCTTGTCTTTGGTCTTCCTCTTGCCCTCCTGCCTGGCATCTCCATCTCCAACATCCTTCTACCAATATAACCACTATCCCTCCTCTGCACATGTCCAAACCATCTCAACCTGGCCTCTCTGACTTTGTCTCCAAAACAACCAACCTGAGCTGTCCCTCTGATGTGCTCGTTCCTAATCTTGTCCATCCTCGTCACTCCTAAACTGAACCTCAACATCCTCATCTCTTCCTCACTGCTACAGTCTCTACCCCATACATCATAGCTGCTCTCACTACTGTTCTGTACACCTTTCCTTTGATTCTTGCTGACACTTCTGTCACACAACACCCCTGACACTTTTCTCCACCCACTCCAACCTGCCTGCACTCGTCTCTTCACCTCTTTTCCACACTCCCCGTCACACTGGACTGTTGACCCCAAATACCTAAACTCCTGCACCTTCTTGATCTCAGCCCCCTGTAACCTCACTGTTCTATTTCCCTCCCTCTCGCTCAAACACATGTATTCTGTCTTGCTGCGACTGACTTTCATTCCTCTTCTTTCTAGAGCTGACCTCCAACTTCCAGGTTTTCCTCCACCTGCTCTCTGCTCTCACTACAAATCACAATGTCATCTGCAAACATCATTGTCCACGGCGATTCCTGCCTGACCTCATCTGTCAACCTG